GAGACTGAAACTGCCCAAGCTGTAGTCTCTTGTATGGAAATTGGACAGCAAAGACCCCCCCTCCCCCCACATAGGCCGGGCAGTCCTCTCTCTCTGGCAGTGGTTTTCCAAACTGAGTAACTGAGATTTAGGAAGGAAATGCTGTGGGAAGGTGACCAATTTGGGGATAAGACAACCCTTGTGAGCCAGGGCTATGGGCCTCTGGGAAGATGACTGGGCATTAGATAAAGGTAATGCTGTGCAGAAGAGCAACTGTTGGGAGGAAGCATGTTTGGGGACTACAGTAGGCACAGGATGGAAGCTTGTGGGGCCACTTAACTTGGACTATGGGGAAAGATTCCTGGACCCCCACCCACAACTACTGAAACTGATTTTTCTAACCATAGAGGCCTAGATATCTGAATGTTTAACAATTAAAAAAAATTATCCACTCATATTCCATCAAATTGAAACATTTCTTTGTTAATACATTACAAATCGAAGTCTGATTTTTGGTTAGTATTATATTTCGTTACTCTATTTTCTTTCTTTGTTAACACTTTGTTAACACTTCTATTGGTATCCTTAGCATAAATTACTATGCTAATTTAAACAAATATTTTTAATGTTTTATTCATTTTTGAGAGAGGGAGAGAGACAGCGTGAGTAGGGGAGGGACAGAAAGAGGGAGACACAGAATCCGAAGCAAGATTCAGGCTCTGAGCTGGCTGTCCGCACAGAGCCTGACGCAGGGCTCAAACTCACAAACTGTGAGATCATGACCTGAGCCCAAGTTGGACGCTTAACCGACAGGGTCATCCAGGTGCACCAATTACTATACTAATTATTTATTATACTGATAGGGCAAATCTCTCTTCATTACTTCTTAAGATTTTTCCCTACCTATTCTTGAATTTTTAAGTATTTTTTCAGTTGTTCCAGTGATCTCATAGAGGTATTGGTTGGGATTACATTAAGTCTACTAATTAAGTGGAAGACTCAACATATTTCTCTTTTTTTAATGTTTATTTGTTTTTCAGAGAGAGAGAGAGAGAGAGAGAGAGAGACAGAATGTGAGTGGGGGAGGGGCAGAGAGAGGGAGACTCAGAATCTGAAGGAGGCTCCAGGCTCTTAGCTGTCTTCACAGAGCCCAACTTAGGGCTTGAACTTGTGAGCCACAAGATCATGACCTCAGCTGAAGCCAGACACTTAACAGTGACCCTAGAGTCAACATTTTTCACTCTTTCTCTTCTACGTGGAAAATGGATGGTGTCTCAATTCAGACCTAATTGTTGTGTACCTCTCAAAGGGTTTAGTCTTTTTTTTTTTTTTATGTTTATTTTTGAGAGCGACAGACAGACAGACCACGAGTGGGGGAGGGGCAGAGATAGAGGGAGACACAGAATCCAAAGCAGGCTCCAGGCTTCTGAGCTGTCAGCACAGAACCCCAATGGGGGGCTTGAACCCACAAACTGTGAGATAATGACCTGAGCCAAAGTCGGACACTTAACTGACTGAGCCACCCATGTGCCCCTACAGTTAATCTTAATAATCCTTACTGTTCTTGTTAGCACTGTTGCCAGATATTTTATTTTCTGTCACTGCTGTAAATGAGACCTTTTTTCATAACGATACCCAATTGCTTATCATTGAATTGAAAGGAAGCTATTGTGGGTTTTTTTGTTTTTTGTTTTTGTTTTGTTTTTTGTTTTTGGAGATTACTCTGCATACTGCCACTTTGTTGAGTTTTCTTATCAAACCAAACAGGTTTTCCACTGAGTCTTCTTAGGACTCTAGTTAGATTATCATCATTTGCAGCCAATATGATTATCTGGAATCTTTTTTCTCACTAGTAATGCTTCTTATTTCTCCTGCCTGCTCAATAGTAGAGGTGTTAACAATCGCTTGGCTCATTTTTTAAAAGTGCATGACTCTTAATTAGCAAAACAGAATGTCCATACTCAAGCTTTGTGGCAGAGAACAAAACTTTGACCTGGCTACTGTTTAACTATTGTCCAAACAATCCAGAGAAATGGTGCTGAGGGTGGGTAGTTTGAAGGACATGAATCGATTCCCTGGTAGTTTAGATTTTGTCCCTGGATCAGATTAGATCGTCTGAGAGCCTCAGCTTGCTCCCTATTGTTTTGGCCGTGCAGAGTTGTGCTTTGCCTTCCTCGTTGATTTATATCAGGAATAGTATAAAACCACCTGAAAAATCTACCATGATTGTTTTCCAGGGTTTTCTTTAGGTCATTGTCCATGCCATCACTTAGTAACCTAAGTATATAGAAAGAAGTAGGATAGGGGTGCCTGGGTGGCTCGGTGGGTAGAGCATGTGACTCTTGATCTTGATGGGGTCATGAATTTGAGCCCTATGTTGGGTATAAAGACTACTTAAATAAAGAAAAGTTTTTTTAAAAAAAGATTTTTTTTTTTAATTTCTAGGAGTGAGAGAGAGAGAGAGAGAGAGACAGCGTGAGCAGGGGAGGGTCAGAGAGAGAGGGAGTCACAGACTGAAACAGTCTCCAGGCTCTGAGCTGGCAGTCAGCACAGAGCCCAACGCGGGGCCCGAACCCACGAACCGCGAGATCATGACCTAAGCGAAAGTTGGACGCTTAACTGACTAAGCCACCCAGGCGCCCCCAAAAAAAGATTTTTTAAAAAGAAAGTCCTATGATTAAAAAAAAAAAAAACTTCAGCTATTCCAGAAATAGCTGTTAGAATAACTCACTAATGTTAGATTTTGGGGTCCTTGGTCCTCCAAACTACATAGACTAAAGTGCTGTGGGCCTCTGGTAGCAGAGGTTTTGGGTTAATTCATAAATGTCTAAGCAGATAAGTTATATATGGAACACAGGAACATATCTGAGAGAAAAAAGTCAGGGGAAGGTCTCTCTACCAGAGGAAAAAAACAGATACATGGATCATTAGCAGAAGTCCATTTATATGAAAATCAAAAGCCCCATGCTTGTACACCCTGAATCCCAAATCCTTTCATTGGAAAGTGGTTTATGATCATAGCTTTGGCTTTTAGGAGAGATTAGTACCAGAAATAACTATATGAGAATTGCTTCTGAATTTATCCTACAAAATATTGTCAAGAACGTCATCCAGAGGTTCCCAGATGAAAATTTTCACTCGAGAATTTCATTATGGGAAATCTTTTACTCCTTTTTTGAGTTCCAGTGTTTTCTCTTTCGGGGTGATGACATCTGGGCATTACTGAACTTCCCTTTCCTCACCCCTCCATGCTACTAAGAAGCGCAGAACAAAATTTCCCACTCAAACAGAGGGAGCCTACAGATGACATCTTACTCATCTTCCTGGTTTTAATTTCCTTACTAATTTGTTAGCTTTATCATTAAAGCTTTTCGTAGGTCATTCCAAATGTTTTTGGGGAAAAAAAGCCAGGTATGGATGGCATTTTGTTTCTGTTGTTAGGAGGTTGTTTTTCATGGCTCAGATGAGGTCTACGAAATTGAGAGACTAAGGAGAGTCGGTGGGCACAGGATGGGAGTGGCTGGGCAGCCCCCTCCTCCAGTTAACTTAAGATAGGGATTGCCACGCAACTGCATAAAGGAAGCCAGCCAAGTTCCTCGCCAGAGGATTGGACAATGCATGCCCCCACCTAGGGGAGGTAATGTCACTCAGCCTCCAAGATTAGGTTGGTTTCTTGCGGTAATGCAAGCCCAGATTGCCAGATATTACACTTTTTCAAGAAAAGCTAGAATTCAAGATCTTAAAGGGAATTCTGGTTTTTGAAATGTTGACAACTAGTTCAAATTCTTTAAAACACTCAGGAACAGCAGAAGACAGGACAGGGTGGTGGCTAATGAGGAACAAGGGGAAAAATGAGGAGTTGTTGCTCAGTGGGTAGAAGTTTTGATTATACACAATTGGTAAATTCTAGAGATTTGTTGTACAACATCATGCCCACAGTTAACAACACAGTACTGTGCATTTAAAAATTTGTTACGAGGTTAGATCTCATGTTCTGTGCTCTTACCAACACCACCACCACCACCACAACAACAAAAAAGAAGACACACAAGGAAACTTCTGGAGGTGATAGGTATGTTTATTACCTTGATTGTGGTAATATCATAAGTGTATGCATATGTTCAAACTCATCAAAATTGTATACATTAAATATTTGCTGTTATGTGTGTGTATATCACATACACATTTTTTTTTTTTTAACACAAAAACTCTGGACCAAATCACCATCCATGACCCAGACTTGGGCCTTTGGGCTCTGATACATCTGGGAGCAGCTTTTAGAAACCCAGTTACCAGGAGACAAAGTAAGAAATCTGCCAACAGGGAGCTGATGTCATAATGCCACTGAGGATCACCCTGACTTTGACCTGAATAATAAAGCTCTTGGTCTGAGAAACCAGAAGCTTTGAGCTCTATCTTGGTTTTTGTGGGCATGATTAGTAGGAAATGGCCTGCACTTGAGATCCGGGAACCTGGCTTTAGGCTTGGCTCTGCCAGCAACAAATCCCACATAGGGTTGGTGAGGCCATGGGATTTCCAGAGACCTCCATAGCACTCCCCACACCTGCAGGAGGTTAGGTATGATATGTGAATCTTTCAAATTCTTTGTCTCCCCAAGTATCCTATCAGAAACTCCAAACGATATGTGAGCATGAGAAAAGAAGTCTCCACTCATCTTTAAATTATGTACTTCTACAAAAGAATTGTCTGAATCTCCACTGCTGCCACTAGCAGTTCACCAAATGAACTGAATTTGCAAGAGTGAGTTCCCCAAAAAAATCACAATCAAGAACTATGACACAGGTGGGCTCCCAATCTCCACCAAAGGAAATTTTAATATCACACTTCCTTGTTGTCTTTCATTGTGACCAATGAAAACATGGTCACAATATGCTTTAGTGCTTTACTACTTTTCGAAAAGGTGGAGTTAATAATTTATGAGCAGGGGGTCATTCAGACATACACTTTTGTTACACCTCATCTTTTTTGGTAAATCAAAAAAATCACAAACTATCACCAGCTGACTGTGTACAACACTTTCAGAATCCACAATTACTTTAATTCTGCAATGATCGCTTCAAGTTTTTCTGTAATGGCGCCACAAAATTCGCCCACCTTTTCTTCTTTTTTATAAAACTGAAAGGTTGGGAGGCAAATGATCTCAAGGTCCTTCACCAGCTCATCACACTCATCTGCATCCACTTCCAGGAACACCACGTCCTCGTACTTGACAGACAGGGAATGGAAAAGGGGCTTGATGGTCCTGCAAGGCCCACACCATGTAGCCGAGAAGTCCACAGCCACCAGCCTCTCTCCAGCCTCCTTGAGCGCCAGCTCGAAGTCCTCCTTGCTCAGGATCACTTTCACGAAGTCCGCCTCCAGAAGCTCCATTGACACCGAAGCCTTCGGGATGTCTCCTTCTGTGGGCAGGATGGCTTCTTTTGAGGACTTGGGGATGTCACCTTCCTTGGGCTGGATGGTGTCTTCTGAGTATGTGGTGTCACCCTCTCTGGGTGGAATGTTTTCTTCTGAGGACTTGGGGATGGGGATATGTTTGGACTGGATGGATTTCACTAAGAGCTCGGGGCTGTTGATCTGTTTAGACAGGAGAGGTTTTGCTGAGAACTTAGAGGTGTTGGCCTGTTTGGGTAGAATGAATTTTGCCAGGGACATGGGGGTGTTACCCTGCTTGGGAGGGATGTTTTTTTCCGAGTAAGCTGTCATTCTCTCCTCCTGCAGTGGGGTGGTTTCTTCTGAGGAAGTTGGGGTGTCACTGTGCTTGAGTGAAATATTTTTTTCTGAAGAATTGGGGCTATCAGCATGCATAGGTGGGATCATTTCTTCTGAGGGATTTGGGGTATCACTCTCCTTGGGTAGAATGATTTTTCCTGAAAATTTTGGGGCATCAGTCTGCTTGGCTGGGATGGTTGTTGTGGGGGAATTGAGGGTCTCAGCCTGTTTGGGTGGGGTGATTTGGGTTGGGGAATTAAGGGTATTGTCCTGCATGAGTGGGACCATTTTTTCTGGAGAATTGGGGGTATCAGTCTGCTTGGACAGGATTGTTTTTGCTAAAGAACTGGGGATACTGCCCTGTTTGGGAGGAAGGAGTTTTGCTGGAAACCTGGGGGTGCCAGCCTGCTTGGGCGAGACAGGTTTTGCTGAAAAACTGGAGGTGTTAGCCTGTTTGGGTGAAATGGGTTTTGCTAAGGGATTGGAGATGTCACCTTGCTTGGGTGGGATCATTTTTTCTGGAGAATTGGGAGTATCAGCCTGCTTGGGCAGGATCGTTTTTGCTAAAGAACTGGGGGTACTGCTCTGCTTGGGAGGGAAGATTTTTGCTGAAAAACTGGGGGTGTCAGCCTGCGTGGGTTGCATGGTCTTTGCTGAGGAATTGACAATGTTACCACCCTGTGCCGGTGGGAATATGTCCTTGGGCTGTGGACTTTTGGACTCCTTTGCAGGCATGTGTTGAGTGTTGTTGGCCTCAGGGGCCAAGACCTTCTCCTGGATGTGTGCTGGGTCCAAGAATTCTGGGACCAGGGGAGTCACGCGGCTGGATAGACCCTGTAATAATGGAATTTCTGAACAAAAAAGTAAATAAGTAAAAATGGGAAAGAAGAAACAACAAAAATTCTTATCATTTACTCCAGAGAAGACCAATGCCATGCTTAGAACCCACAAATGTTTTATGAATGATGCATCACCATGAAAAATCACTTTCAACAGAAGGCCAGGCAGCATGTGATTACCTGTATCTTTATGTAGAGTTTTTTTTTTTTTTTAACTACAACTTTTCTCTGCTTCAATACTGCTGTCTGCTCCCTAAGCACATAGGTCCCTAAGGTGACCCTCCCTCGCCTTACCATTAGCGTCACCTTGATCAGCTTCTTCTTGTTTCTCTGGACTCATGTTCAGTTCTTTTGGGTCTCCATCTCTATCACTTTCCACTTCCTGTTCCTTGTCCATATACACTCAGACTCCCTATGTGCCTCAGAGTGGACATGAGGCTGTACCCTTCAACTTTCTCCAGCCTTTCCAACCTAACATCATAATAGGAGTAATGACTTACATTCAGGTGGTACTTACAGCTGTCTTTTCCTCTCTGTACTCACAGCAGTAGTATTCATGACAACCTTGGTTACAGTGGCCACGCTGTGTTAGGCTGTGCCCAGTGCCTGATATGCATTCATGGGCATTATTTCCTATAACACAACAAACCACTGAGGTAAGTACCATTATGATCCTCACTTAACAAACAAGAAAATTGAGCCCTGTAAAAGTTATGTAACTTGCTCAAGGTCACAAAGCTAGTAGATGGGCAGGTTCCAAGCCTGCTCTCTGAATACTATGCTGAACGGTACTTTTTGCCAAATGCCCTGCCCAGGATGGTAACTTGAAACCAACTTTCCTACAACCTCCCTCTAGGACTCTCCAGCTCCAGCTTTCCTTTTCTGACTCACACGTTCTAACCATCTAAGTGTCTCCTCCTAATCATGATACCCTCCTCTGCAAAATCCTGCCTGACCGTCAGATGTCCAATTTGAGCTATCTGGAAGGGAGGAGATTATGACTGAGAAAAATGGCCTGAGAAGAATAATTGAGAACATCACACCTCTATCCCAAAAGATGGGGAGCCAAGAGAACAAGTACATAGATGTGTTCAGAGCAAAGCCGACAGCAGAGGAGTATTCGCCTGGGCTCCATTGGGGAGGCCAGGAAACACCCACATTCACATGGACTCATCTGGAAACCCAACCCAGCCAGGGCTGGGGCTGTGAGTGTCCCGCAAAGCCAGCAGAACTATAGGGTCCTCAGAGAAGAAGCAAGAAGCCACTATGAAGGGGGATTTGTGACCAAAGGCAAGGACTGGAGTCGTAGTCTTGACCAGTATGTGAGAGCATGGTGCCCCAACCCCTAGATGGGCCCCTCAGCAGTCCTCGGTCTAGGGACCAGGCCAGACTAACCACTTCACATGCAAAATCAGAGGCAGAGGGCTGGGCCACAACCAGGCCCCATGGTCCTGTGCATCCAGATATTATGGAGAAAGGGGAGGAATTGGAATGACTGAAAAAGTGTTCATCAAGCTAAAGTCCACAAGCAGGCAGATTTGATCTCTGCCCCTCACCATCTCTCCTCAAATCCTCATTGAGATAAGGCTGGTGGAAGAAGGAGATCCACTGTAGAAAAAATGTAAAGCCACAGTATATTTGCACATCTTCATAAAAGTGAGATAGGTGACCCTGGTACATTTATACTTGGGGACCCAAGCTGTGTTTTAGGTTTGGCAGAATTGTTCGAATTATTTCTCCTCTTCATTCTGCAATTCAGACGGATTCCAAACAATGTGAAATATCAGTGCCTCTGAGTAATTTTCATTCAACTTGTTGTAAAATGTATCCTTTTTCCTTAAAATGTGTTTTCTCCTTCAGCACAAGCTGGTCCCCAAATTGCTCTTGAACCCTTATGTCAGTTGTGGTTCTGTCAGGGAAACAATAAATCAGCTATTTTAGGCATAGAAAGATTTATCTAATTATAACATAGCTGGAAAGGCTGCCTTTGGGCTAGATGTCCTGGACTAATTCCTAGAAAAATGAACAGTGCTGCAGACCTGGCCTGCCAGGGGGGTGTGACCTTCATGCTATCAGGAAGGCAGGGAATCAGAAAGTTGCTGCTAAAATGGTTGACTTCAAGAACTTTCTGCTCCAGCTCCCATCCAAGGGTGAGGCACACACCGCTCCAACTCCCTCTCAGCTCAGAGCTAGAGCTGAACTAGAAAGCTAGGGCAGAGAGCACACAAAGTTGCAAGATGATGGGTTCTTTCACTTGTGGGACCATATACTGGTAGAATCTGTTTTGCGTCCAGAACCCTAGGGGAGTCCAAAAAATGTGGTTTTCAGATTTCTAGCTTCTGCAGTGCAAGGAGCCACACCAGACATTGGAATAAACACTGCGTGGAAATTCATTTCCACCCCATGCTCACAATGACAATATGACAGTCTAGGTTTTGATACACTACACTGGCACAATTTTTTGGTTTTATAATTACAAAAATATATATATTCATAATAGAAACATAAGGAAACACACAAGTAAAAAAATAAGAATTACTCAAAGTGCCAATCTTCAAGAATCACCACTATCAATACTGTGATGTATATTCTTGGATTTATACTCTTGTAATCCTTTTTACGTAAGAATATATTTTGAGTCCTCTCTTTTGGAATTTGAACCTCCAGAACAGTGAGACAATACATTTCTGTGGTTTAAGCCACCCACCCAGTCAGTGGTATGATAGCCCTAGCAAACTAATATGGCAGCCAAAAAATGGGCATGTCTGTGTTCTAATAAAACTTTATTTACAAAAACAGGCAGGTGGCCCAAGAGCATAGTTAGCCAATCCCTGGCCTATATAATCATTTTTATTATTTAAAAAAATTTTTAATGTTTATTTATTTGTGTGAGAGAGAGTCAGAGCATGAATGGGAGAAGGGCAGAGAAAGAGGGAGACACAGAATCCAAAGCAGTCTCTGGGCTCCAGGCTGTCAGCACAGAGCCCGATGTGGGGCTCAAACTCACAAGCTATGAGATCATGACCTGAGTTGAAAGCTTAACAGACTGAGCCACCCAGGCACTCCTACCTATATAATCATTTTTAATGATTGATTTATGTCCTTTTGAATGGATGAATTTCAATTTGTTTAAATAATTTCATATTGATGGATATAAAGGTTGTTTTTATTATTTGCTGGTATAAGCAGTATAATAATAAGCATTTATAGATTAACATATTCTTAATTATTTTCTTAAAATACAATTCTAGAAATGGAATCCCTGGATCAATCAGTAGGCATTTTAAAGATTTTTCTGTTCCAATCAGTAACTATCAGCAAGGTATGAAAGTACAAATAAAATTGTGTCATTAGTATCTTAATTTGTATTTCTTTATTAAGTTGAATTCTGGAACATATTTATTGTCAATTTCTATTTCTTCCTTTGCAAATTGTCATATCACAGCCTTGCTTAATGGTCTCTGAGGGAGAGGTATCTCCATATACATTAATTTCCTTAACTTGTTGCCAGTTATTGTCATGGTCTTTCTCAGTTTGTCTTTTAATTTTGTTCATGGTATTTTTGGAACAACATAAAGATGACTCTGGACAGTTTGGGGGAGTACTGGTCACGTATTTTGGACAATGTACCTCAATTAGGGGTTTACATGATGTTTTTCTCAGACCAGGGTCATGTGTTTTGGGGAGGAAGACCACACAGGTAAATTAGCATTTTAATCACTTTATTACTAATTAAATATGTCAAGGGATAAAATTTCAAAGGGTTATCAGCATCGCTTATCACTGATGATGTTGACCTTGATCATCCAGCCAAAGCAGTGATTGTCAGGTCCCTCTGCTATTAAATTACTCTCTCTTCCCTTCGTGTACTCTGTGTAAAGCTCACACTCAAGGGGTGTGGATTATGCCCCATCTCCTTGGGGGAGGGATATCTACATAAATTATTCAGAATTTTTCCGTTTGGCAGGTTTGTCTCTTCCATCCTCCATTTATTTATTTATTTATTCAATCATGTATTTACATTAGTGTCAACTCATGGACATTTATTTTATACCTTGGGTTATAATCCAGTACTATGAAATTTATTTGTTGCTCAAATCATTCCAGCTTTGACCACTGAGAACTCTTTCAGTTGGCTCTTGTGTCCTTCTGATGTACACACACTTGTAGTTTTGTTTGTTGACCATGTCCTTACCCTCTGGCACTACAAAATCCTCCAGGCTCATTTTATAGATTCACTGCCATATCCCTAGAATTATCCACTTCTTTAATGGAGCCCTGCTTCCTTTTATTGGAGAATGGTATTTAGAAAACAAAATCTGAGCTGGGTGTGCTTGTTGATACTGGGTGCCATTGCCTTCAGACTCAGTGAGCATAACTGGGAACCATTTATATAGATGTAACTAACCTGTGCGCTCACACACACATTAATAGTTACTTCTATATCAGTATCTGTATTAAGCTAACTGTGACTTCCTATTGAAGTCCTTGACTTTAATTCAGTACCACATGGTTCACTGTAGCCTTTCCCCCGAGCATGTCTGTAAACTTCTATTCCAAAAGTGACTTGGTTCCCACTGTCTGCCACTCATTTACTTATTTATTCAATTCCCATACACATGTAGAATGGTTTCAGAATGGCTAACCTGTCCGTTCTTGGTAAACAACTTCCTTACCTAGAACACAGTGCTTATGTGTGGTTCTTTTGGTCTTTATAGGCTTAACATTTCTACTCATTTTCAAAGTTACTTAGGTCAGCCTCTCTTTTTCCCTACCCCTTCAGTGAAATTATGCCATACATTTGTAATAGGTATTTTCTTTTGTCACATTCTGCATTTCATTCTGGGATCCCCTACCCTCTGGGCTGAGTTTTTTTCAAATTTGCATACATTATGGTTCACTCTGTGCTGTGGAGTCCTCTAGGTTTGACAAATGGGTGTTATTATTATTCATCACTACAGTACCATACAGAATAGTTTCATTGCCCTAAAGAAAATCTCCTGTGCTTCACCTAGTCAACCCTCACCCTCCTGCAAATTCACGGCAGCCACTGATTTGTCTCTATAGCCTTGCCTTTTCTAGGATGTCATATAAACGGGATCATATATGTGGCCTTCTCAGATTGACTTCTTTTGCTTAGCAATATATATTTAAGATCCCCCATGCTGATTTTTTGTGTCAATGGTTTGTTTCTTTTGACCACTGAATAGATAATAAAGCATTTTAACTAAACTATGGGATGCAGATGTAAGACAAGAATTTGAGTGCAGATATTTATTTGGGAGGAGATCCCGACAATCCCAGGTGGGGCACTGGGGAGGGAATCATGCCAGCTGTCACTGTGAGCACTAGAGGTCACTCCCACTGGGGACTGGGGGAGAGTACAGAGCATACCTCAAGTGATCATTCCTTCCTTCCTTTTGAGTGCTCTTTCCAGGGGAAATAAGTCTGGCACTTCTGCTTGCCCTGTGCACATGCTCTACCTGTCCCCTGCGGGGCCACCTGAGCCACCTGAGAGAAATGCACGTGTTTGCAGTAAGTAGTCATTTGAAAATAAAGGCGACTGCTGACAGGCTGTGCATGGAGCAGGGCGTTGGCAGCGGCTCTTACAAGAGATGATAGGTATGGGCAGAAGAAAGTTTTGTTTGTAGAGTCTGAAAACATAACCAAGGGTCCCTGGGCACCCTGCCCGGATGGAATGAAGAGCAGTGATCTACTCTGACTTCATGACTGTTCTGCAAGAAAGAATCAGCATTCTGGAGAAGTGAGGCAGGAACAGAGAGCCCTCTTGGGCATCCTGTTCAGCTGGAAGGTGACCCCACACAAAGCAGCTGTAACTGAGAAGTCGACAGAAGGGAGTAAGGAGATGAGGTTTCTCTCTTCTGTGGGGTACCCACTGTTTTACGAGCATCTAAAGCTGCAGAAAATGGGCCCAAAATGTCAGGGACAAGGGTTGGTGCTCAGAAAGAATCAGCTGGATGTCATTGCCATGTGGCTTTGGTGGCAACAGTGGTAGGAGGCAGTCTTGCAACTGCTTCCTGGAGCCACCACCAGGTTGGCAGAGCCCCAAGGGTGTCAGGGGCCTGGGCTCAGAAGGCCAGAGAGGACGAGAGCAGGGACAGGGGAGGGAAAAGATGGATAGGCACATGAAAGGGGGAGCACAGTGAAGAGATTCAGGAACCCGCCATAGAAGAAAGAGCTCCATGGCCAGAGAAATGCTATTGGGACTGTTCTGAAGATCCAAGTGCATGCATAGACGTGTGTGTGTGTGTGTGTGTGTGTGTGTGCGTGCGCGCGTGTGTGCGTATGCACCCACCATTGTGAAAGCACCAATTAATACCACTTCATAATGTTTTATAATACACTGGCAGATATTATTCAGTTCAACAACATTTGCTGAGTATTTACGTAGGATACAAATGAGGTTATTCACCAGGGATAAAGAGATGATAGACCCTGTGGCTACCTCCTTAGGGTTTTTGTTGTAGCGAGGAAAGCAGACACCATAAAATGAGGGTTTTTTCCCAAAATGTAAGACCATTTATTCAGATATACATATATATTCATATATGTATTTATATATGTAAATATATAAATATATGTAATATATGTAAATATATATAATAAAGAGAAAACCTGGCTTTGAAGGATGTACACAACACTCACTATACTAATTGCTTTGAGCAGGTGAAGGGAGAGGAGAAATGGGTTAGAGAAAAAGAGCAAAACAGACTTCAGCTTTGTCTATTATATTCAGTTTCATTTTGCTTAATTAAATATGCGTGTGCTTGTCTATCACAAATGCTTAGAAACCAAATGTTAGCATTTGGTAATACCAAATTCTGGTAATTTGGTAAACCCAAAACATACATGGGTTTGTTGCATTAATCTTTGAAATGTTCTGTATTTGTAAGATTTCACATAAAAGAGGGAGACGCCAGCTGGGAGTTATTGCATGTCCTGATGCCGGGCAATAAGGGCCACGGTGAGCAATGAGGATGACATCCTTCATGCAGGTGGCTCATGTTCCAGTGACATGTCAGCCACTTGAGAACACGCACCTGTGAAGGGATTTAACTAGAAGGTTCAACTACAGTTTTACGTGGTTCTAATCATATAGTTGTTAACTGATAGAGACTATTACTTCAATAGAGGCATGTTCATCACAGAGAGTCACTCTATATTAAGAATCATGTTGTAATCAGATCAGCAGAGCATGTTTATTGTATGCCTGGCGCTGAAATATAAAAATGCTTGGGGAACCTAGGTGGCTCAGTCAGTTGCGCATGTGACTTTGACTCAGATCATGGGTTCGAGCCCCACATCCTGCTTACTGCCATCAATAATAAGCCCACTTTGGATCCTCTGTCTTCCTCTCTCTCTGCTCCTCCCCCACTCATGCTCTCTCTCTCAAAAATAAATAAACATTAAAATATATATACATACATATATATACATACATACATAGATATATATATGTATGTATAGATATATATATAGATCTATATCTATATATAGATAGATAGATAGATATAGATATATATACAAGAATTTTTATCTTCATAAAAGCCTTCATTTCAGTACGGTTGCTCTAAGTGTAAAGTGATCTATGTCTTATATTTCCATCCTAGTTTTTTGTCATCAGTGTGACTGCTGTTTAAGTATTTTTCCCTAAAGAGAGCAGAAAGGAATCAGTTGGGCAAGTCATTACATACAGCTGGATTCAGTGTCTCTTGAATTTTACTAGGTTCACCCTCCACATCCTACTTGTCTTTAGAACATCCCCCAAATCTGAAAGAAGTTGTTGTGGGCTCACGTAAAATTAATAAAGACATAAATCCATTTAAAAGTCTATTAGAAAATTATTTTTACCTGGTTTCTCAGTGTCATAATGGCAAACATTGGAAAAACTCCTAAGATATTCTAAGTGCGTATGTGGATTGGTAAATTGCTTACTATTCCTTCTATTTTTCTAGATGGTCCAAAATGTCAAGAATGGACATCTTTAATGGGAAAGAACTTTATTTTTTAGAAGGCCAATTGAATGCTCTTCTCTTCTACCTCCAAATGACTGGTCACACAGAGGATTTGTCATGAGCCATCAGTATTTTATCTAAGGTGTGGATCTTGCGCCTTTGTACCTGGCTCTCTGAGATCAGTACCCCATTCATTCCTCATTAGTTCTGGACACAATGCTAGAACTATCTATGTTTTGTTCAAGGAAGAGTGGACTATTGACTTTACTCAGTCTTTGTTCTGATATTTAACACCCAACACTTTTATGGTTGGAAAGACTTCTGGTATAATGTTTAAAGCTCCCCTGTGTGAATATTTACTAAAAAACTCTGGGGATGCTCTGGTAAGATTCAGGTTAGTTGTCAGTTTGATGGTGTTTTCATATCCATAGGCTGTTCAGAGACTTTAAAAATGCATGTGACCCCAGCTCATCACTCCTACCTGGTACAGGGGCTTTGCTCTCTGCACATGGTTCCTTGGATCTCACAATACCCACCTTCTAAAGGAAGCCACACAAGCAAGTTAACGGAATGGCATCCTTAGCAGAACAGAGCAGAGCAAAGCAATGGCTCCCATTGAACATCTCTCAGCATATTAATTTGAGGCTTTGATGCTCATGGCCCTGGGAAGGGCTCAAGCTCATTCTCACCGTGAGTGTGGTATTCCACGGGCTCTTCATGAATGGAAGGATAAAGGTATGAATGGTTACAACATGTATAATAAGAGACGATCGATGAAGGTTTACATTAAAACAGTTAATTTAAAATACGCTTTTGCTAAAATTATCTTTATTAGCCTCTGGCACACCACCATCCCTAGCTTGGCCTCTGAGTAGAGAAACAGGAGAGTGGTCAAGGAAATTATCCCCATAAGACTTTTCCAAACCATCCACACCTGGAACAAAATCAGAACACTGCAAATAAATGAAATGAAAGAATGAAATGTCACACCCCCACACACCATCCTGGCCACCCATCCCTTCCTGTCAGCACCACACATTAATGAAATGATGTCACATGGCATAAATCCATAAATCCTGCCTAATCCAAGTGTAAGCTTCTTAAAGATAAGAGAGATTGCCTTGGCTCTCTGTCTTGGGCCTGGTGTGCAATGCACCAGACACTCAAGAAAAACTTGCCTGTGAGTTTCTCTTCTTTCCTGACTCTCTGAGGTAATACCTGATTAAGTTTCTGGTCCTCTGTTACAACACTGAGTGTGGAGAATTAAAGTGATAATTTAATATAAGACTCCATGTTTAGTGCAAAAAGTGCACTACTTCCGGGACGCCTGGGAGGCTTAGTAGGTTAAGCATCCGACTTCGGCTCAGGTCATGATCTCGTGGTTTGTTGAGTTCGAGCCCCACGTCCGGTTCATGGCTATCAGCGCAGAGCCCGCTTCAGATCCTCTGTCTCCCTCTCTCTGCCTCTCCCTCCCCATCTCTCTCAAAATAAAATAAACATTAGAAATTGTACTACCTCCGGTAACACTGTTTGACTTTAACTCACAGGCTAATCTGCTACTCCAAACTCCACGGAGATTAGAAGATGGGCTGTTACTCCCCCAGGGAGATGTGAGAAAGCTCCTTGAAGCCACGTGGTGTACTGTCAGGGGAGAGGAGCAAATTTTTTGGTGGAGGAAAGAGCGGCCATGCTGCCATGCGGTGAGGGTGGGCAGGAGAGGGCCCGAGCCCATGGTGTGCAGAGACAGGGGCTGGGCCTAGAGGAGAGGGTTATTCTAGCACGTGGCACAGAGCTGGAATTTTATTGAATTTGTAGTAGGGCATCACAGAAATATTTGAGGAAATGCCAGAATTTGATCTGTACCTTAGCAGATTCACGGGCAGCATATACAACAATAGACTTGAGGGCCAAAGACAGAATTCAGAGCTCTGTTAAGAAGCCATCGCAATAGCTGAGAGAGAATATATCAAAAGCCGACACTCGGAGAGGGGAAAGAGAACTAAAAGGTTCAAGAAACCCCAGAAATAGGATTTCCATGGTTTGACAAATGCCTAGGAGAAGCTGACACAGAATCTCACATTTGAAGCCTGAGCCACCGAGAGACTGCAGCGCAGGAAGCAGACAGGTGACCCAACGGGACATCAGGACACCCATGTGTGCACCCACCAGGCAGCTGGGAATCAAGTTCTAATCTCCAGAAAGAAGCCAAGCCAGGCCGTGATTCAGAAGTCAAACACCTGGACTCAATAGTTGAAATCCTAAAATTGGATGAAATCATAAAAAGGGGGACATATTGAGTGGAATCAGGAGCATGAGTTTGCAGGAGGGACCTGCAAGGGAATCTTGGAGGCTGGGCCAAAGAAGGAGTGGACTGCAGGAGGGGGTGTCAACAGCCTCAAGTTTCCACAGGGGTGCACGGAGAGGGAGAAGAGAGAGGCCCACAGTGGGGCCAGGAGGTAGATCATCCCTCCATAATCTTTGAAAGTGCAGAATGAGGCATAATCTCAGGTGAGAAGTGAATGAATTGAAGATCAAGATTCTCTTTTACGGATTTCATTAATTCAAGGAGAGAGTAGCTTGAAGGGGGCAAAGAAAATGGATGGCAGCTGGTCCACCCTCAAGAAGGCTTATGGGTAAGTTGACAAGAGGTGGGAAATAGTGCGGGGGACTTTAAGATGGAAGCAAAAATAAACAAAACAAAACAAAACAAAACATGGGACACGCTTTAGAGGTGAGTTGGGATCCTTTTCCAAGGGACAAGAAAAGGAGAGAGAATAGGTACACATGGAGAGAAAATGCGAGGTGCAGGAGAGCAGAGGAGGCTGGCCACTCTCAGGTCGTCCAGGCCAACTAGGGGACACCAGTTTGGCACAGGCTTCTCAGGATCGTCTTGTGGGCCTCGGGCCCTGCAACATCAAAGTTGCAGGACTCTGATGCAAAAGTCATTTCAAAAGGCCGGTTAAGAACTTCAGTCAGGGCTGAGCAAATGGTGTCAATATCCAGGTCAGGGATACAGAAAAGATAAATCGAGCTGCCTGAGCGGCGGGGTCAAGGAGAGTCACACCCACAGTTTGAGATCAGATAATAGTTCCCTGAAACCAGCAAATCTCGCTAATGGAGTGATTCAGCTCTGGTGGCCTGAGCTGGTTAACCCTGAGCTCCCCAGCCTACATTTCCTCCCGAGGTGCAAGAATGATAGTGTGGGCCTCTGCCTGGATAGATGTTACCCATTCTAACTACAAAATTGAGAGCCCGTGAAGCGCTCCGTGCTCGTTCAATACAGATGAGGACAACTGTGCATCCTTCTCAGATTTGTTTCGGAAGTTTATTTATTTATTTTCGAGAGAGAGGAAGAGCATGCACGAGTAGGGGAGGGGCAGAGAGAGAGAGAGAATCCCAAGCAGGCTCCACACAGACAGCACAGCGCCCAACGCAGGGCTTGATCACATAAACTGTGAGATCATGACCTGAGCAGAAACCAAAAGTCAGACACTCAACTCACTGAGCCACCCAGGCGACCCTCAGATTTGTTTTAAGGCTGAAAGGAGATACAATTTGAAAGTGTATATAGCTCAGGGGAAGTATTCAATGAATGTAGATTTCCTTTCCTTCAATCCTTTTTTTTTTTTAATGTTTCACTTTTATTTTTGAGAGAGAGAGAGAGAGAGAGAGATTGCAAATGTGGGAAGCACAGAGAGAGAGAGAGATACACAGAATCTGAAGCAGGCTCCAGGCTCTGAGCCACCAGCACTGAGCCCAACGTGGGGCTCAAATCCATGAACTGTGAGATCATGACCTGAGCTGAAGTTGGACACTTAACTGACTGAGCCACCCAGGCACCCCTTCCTTCAATCTTTTGTATTTACAGTACTTATAATGACAGCAGAGAAAGGAGAAAACAGAATATGGTTAAAAGCTCCAGTTATAAAAGAAATAAGTCCCAGGCATAAAATAAATGACATGGTGACTATAGTTTATAATACTGTATCAGGTATTTAAAAGTTGCTAAGAGACTAGATCTTCAAAATTCTCATTTTTTCTTGTGAAAAAAAATTTGTACTATGTGCAGTGATGGATGTTAAGTAAACTTATTATGATGATCATTTCACAACGTATACAAACACTGAATCATTATTTGTATACCAGGAACTAATGTCACATGTCAATTATACCTCAAAAAGTATTCTTTTTCATTTTTTTAAAATTAAAACAAGAGAAAAGAAAAATAGTAGCTAACGTTTGACGTCTGTCTCTTACTAGTCTATGGTCTTGGTCAATTTAGTGACCCTGTGCCTTGGTTTCCTCACCTGTAGAACAGAGGTCATAATAGAAATTGATTAATAAAAGAGGGTTGTAAAAATAAAAAGAGGTAACGCGATGTAAAATGCCAAAGACAGTATAGCAAGGCGCTGTATGCATATTAGCTATTACTATTTTTTTTTTAATGTTTTTTTTATTTATTTCTAGGAGAGAGAGAGACAGCGTGAGCAGGGGAGGTTCAGAGAGAGAGGGAGTCACAGACTGAAACAGGCTCCAGGCTCTGAGCTGGCAGTCAGCACAGAGCCCGACGTGGGGCTCTAACCCACGAACCGCGAGATCATGACCTAAGCGAAAGTCGGACGCTCAACCGACTAAGCCACCCAGGCGCCCCAGCTATTACTATTTTTGAGCGTTTTGGTGCCACGACGGTAAGAAGTGCTTTCTGTAGAATGAAACCCATGCAGCCCCACTCAGGAGGCCCAGCAAGTGTAGACGTCCATAGAAACAACAGCTGCCTGGAGCTCCCAGATGGGAAGGCCTCTTCACACGGGCTCTCACCCAATCTTCGTGAGGCACCCAAGCGGGAGGTAGTACGGGCTCTCCGTATCTTACATGACATCTGGGCACAGGTGTTTGCCGAATTCAGAATTTTGTTTGGATTTTATAAAAGTAATACATGGCATCTTTTATAGAACATCCAGCAGAGTCAGGAATGGGATCCTACTAGTAAACAGTAGTATTTCTGCAACTAAAGGTGTAGATATTCACCTCTGGTTGGATACATAATGACTATAAATGGCATCTCATCAGTTCGGATCTAGTTTTACTCCAGATGAGTCCATACCAAACTTAGGAAAAACCTCTCTGCTTCTGAAGCTTTTTGGATTCCAGAATTGCGGACAAGTGTGCATAGGAATTATCTTCTGCATCTTGCATACAAGGAAACTGGGGCTTAGCGACACTAATCTGCCAAGTATTCCCAAGGCCAGCAAACAGAGCTAGGGGTCAGGCTCAGGTGGCCTGACACTAGATCTTTTGATCTTAATCTCTATATCACATGGCTCCAGGGAAAGGAACAAACATAAGAAAATGGCAACTAGGAGGTCCCTTGTCAAATCCAGGGCAGAGGTCAAAGCCAATGGCATAGTCATGGCTACTAGGTTGTCTGGGCTAAGTGCCTTCTACAACAATTTCACTTAGTGTTGACACCAGATGTGTGATATGGGCACTATCCCTATTTTACAGATGAAAACTGAGGCTCAGAGAAACCAAATAACTTGTTCAGAATCTTAAGATGAGTAAGGAGTGGGCTGATTCCCAAGCCCCTGTTCCTACCCCTGTGGTCGCCGTGCCTCCCCCAGTCAAGCCGCCCTGCCTGCCTTTAAATGTCTTCTCATTCCTGCCATTATTGGTTCCCTTGTCCTTTCCCTTATATTTGTTTCCTCCTTTATAAACTTGGAAATTGCAAACATCTGATGGGGCACAGAGGGCTCGTTCAGCACCAGCTCATAGTAGCCCTCAATGAATACCTGTTGGATAAATGGATGGGCAGATGGATGGATGACTTTACCAAGACAGCTGTGATGAGGTACCTACCCAGGAACTCGTGAGTTCTCTGTCCCACCTCCCCAGCACCCACCTCCCACCTTGCTAGAGGCTGGCCCAGAATGACCAGGTCTCCCATTGTGCCCGAGACTATCCAACTTATTCCTGTTGTCCCAGCTTGATATTAACAGCAATCCCTTCACTCTCTAAAGTGCCCCAGTTGGGGCAATAAAGTCTGCAATAAGGCAGAGGATTTTGGAACTCAAAAAGGCAAACTGACAAAGCTCGTGTAAAGTTCTGGCCTGCTTCCCCCCACCCCTACACTCCCTGGGCTATGGGAAGGGAGCAGTGGAGAAGCTGAGATAGCTTACATGCAGACACCATCTGGGTAAGGTGTACCCGGCACCAGCTTCCCATTGGCCTCCCAGAAAGAGGACTGAGAACTGTGCTCCCCACACCCAACTAGGCAGTCATTGGGGTCCCCAGCAATAGAGGAGGGATGCTCGCAGAGCCCACCTGACACAGTCCAGGCTGGTGCCTTACCAATCTCTCAGGACCCCAGGGGAGCTCCTGCTCCCATCCAGTATCTTCCCAGGACCTTTAACGGGGTGCAGAAGCAGACTGGAGGGGGCCACTTTCACCAGACAAGGCGGACAGAGAAAGACCACTGTGTTGGGCAGACAGTGAGACCCAGGAACACTACAGCAGCCCTCCAGAAGCTTAGATGCATCGTTCCCACTGCTTCAGCCACCCTTGGGAGTGCATGAGGGTTAAATCCTGACAGTGAGCTTAAGCCCGTGGGGATGGAAGCCACTGAGTTGATGAGGTAAAACTAGCTGGACCATATCCAGCCTTCCACATTAGACAGAACAGCGGCTCAAGGTAGACATGAAGTTATTACAGAAAAAGGAAGACTGTGTTTTCATGCCTCTGACTCTTGTAGCCAGTAACACTGATCTTCATACTGTAATTTTTAACGATTATGGTATTCTATTTTGTGGTTATAATTTATTCAATTTCCCATCATAGGACATTTGCATTATTCCAAGTTTTCATTTTTAATAAACGGTACTGGGACAAACACTTTAGTATGTGCGTATCACTAACTAATAAATCTGTGCTAGCCAGCTAGGTCTTGAGGTCCCTTGAGTAGTGCATGGAGAGGTCCACCTGGTGAGGAAATGGGGTCTCCCTCTCTCCTCTGAGGGAATCAGTGAAGGCTTCAGATGCTGTAGCCCTGGCCAACATCTCAAACTCACCTGTTAGAGACCCTGCACCAGAGCCACCCAGCTAAGCTCTTCCCAATGTAAGATAATCAGTGTTTATAGTGGATGCCTGAGTGGCTCAGTTGCTTAAGTGTTCGACTCTTGATTTTGGCTCAGGTCATGATATAATGGTTCATGAGATTGGGCCCCACCTTGGACTGCACACTGACAGCATGGAAACTGCTTAGGGTTCTCTCTCTCTCCCTTTCTCTCTGCCTCTCCTCAGTTTGAACTCTGTCTCTCAAAATAAACAAATAAACTTAAAAAAATAGGTGTTTACTATTTTAAGACACTAAGTTTTTAATATTTTTAATGTTTTATTTATTTCAGAGAGAGAGAGAGAGAGAGCATGAGCAGGGGAGGATCAGAGAGAGGGAGATACAGAATCCAAAACAGTCTCCAGGCTCTGGGCTGGCTGTCAGCACAGAGCCTGATGCAGGGCTCAAACCCATGAACTGTGAGATCATGACCTGAGCCGAAGTCGGGCGCTTAACCGACTGAGCCATCCAGTTGCCCCTAAGATACTAAGTTTTGAATGAATATGTTATGCAGTAATAGGTAACATATATGTATGTTATATATATAATACATATATATGCATATATATATACACACACACAAGTACATATACTTAATTCCTACAAATAGATGAACAGGATTAGTGCATCATAGGATATATTCTTTTCAAATGTCTCTGATACACATTGTCAAACCACTTTCTAGAAAGACTGTTATCGATTTATGCTCGGACCAGCAGTCGGGCAATTTAGTTACCCTCATACCAGCATGTATGAGAGCGCCCGTCTCCAGTATGCCTGCCCATGCTTGGTATTATCTGTCTAGTGGTGTCTCAGTAAACAGTGGAATAGAGGAAAGAAGGTAGCGTCACATACATACAAGAAGCTGGTGGGACTACAAGTTGCTGCACTGTCTTAAAACTTCAGAGAAGACGCTCCTGGAGACAGATGCTCATTAAATTAGGATGAGATCTCCTTCCCCTTTTAACCAGCAAGCCTTGCTCTTGGGACAATGCTTGTCGAAGCAGGAAATGTTTCAAGACTACTTAGAGTAGCCCCAGGCAGTACTCAGCTAAGGATAGCCCTAGACTTTTTGCCTCGTTCTCCAGAACCCATAAATAACCAGAGTTGTTCTGTAAAAACATGCAAGGTGCCTCAGTGCACAACTCCTCAGACTCCGGGCTCTATTACATAAACTCCCAAGGTGGGACAAAGCAAAAGTGAGGGATGGAGGAGAGGCAGGAATTTGTGTAGAATGTTACTGACAAAGAAGGCTGGGCTGCCTAAAATTTGGTGGCTAAATCCAGCAATCCATTGGATTGTTCTAAAACATTTCCCCGAATTGCCATAAATAGGTAACGACTTCCTAGTAAATGCAAAAGAAAGGCTTTTCTTCCAGACAAAATTGGAACACCAGGTCTCTTGGTGATGGCAGCTTTTGTTCTGTTTCTTGTGTGATTGTATATTGAAGGCAGCTTCCCAGCACTCGCCTTGGGGAGACTTGAGCGCTGAGAACATGGGGCACCGCTTTCCGCCCTCTGCACACTCTGTTCCAGGTCCATCCATGTATCAAACAAAGCTTTGCCTAGAAAGCACAAGATGTACAGGTGTGCAAAAGAAAGTCTGCGTGTTTGGTGGACAGATAGGGGTAGCTGAGATGATGGGGGAGGCATACGTAAGCCTCATAAAATGTACTGAGAACATTAAGTTGGCAATAACACTTAGGAATTCTTTCTAGCATATTTACGGAGTTAGTCTAATCCTTTGCTGCTTGTCTCCATAGCCTATCTCTTTGAAAAAAAACTGACACAGCAAAATCTACTGACTAATAAAGCAACATACCTTGAAATTACCAGATGCTATCATTTTGTCATATTGGCTTCAGCGTTTCTATCATGAAATAAATAAAAATTACTCCTCATTTACTGCCCTTCGTTCCCTTCCCTGATGCAGTTTGCTTGCCTAGTTCTCCACAGGTAAGCACGATCATGAAGTTGATGTTGTTCCTTCTAATGCCCCCTTTACACATACACATTCACAAACAACATACATTCTTGTTTTTCTGTCAATTTAGATGCTGTTGTACTTCTTTGGCTTGCTTTATTGACTCATTCAGGCCACAGCTCTGTTGCTCAGGTTCCATTCATACAGGTCACGGTGAAATTGGTTCCCTTGGGGGTGTGCAGTATGTAGCCCTATATCCACATCCTGGTTTTTTTTTTTAATGTTAGCTGGGTTTTTAAAAAAATTTTTTTTAATGTTTTTATTTTATTTTTTTATTGAAAGACAGATTGTGAGTGGGGAAGAGGCAGAGAAAGAGGGAGACACAGAATCTGAAACAGGCTCCAGGCTCTGAGCTGTCAGCACAGAGCCCGACACGGAGCTCGAACTCATGAACCGTGAGATCATGACCTGAGCCAAAGTCAGACGCTTCACAGACTGAGCCACCCAGGCGCCCCTCCACATCCTGTTTTGAGATACATATTGACGCATGAGAGATCCTGCATTCATTTTAATTACCCTATAGTTTTCATCATGTGACTGTGCCACATTTTATTACCAATTTCCTTAGCGGAAGACACTTTGCTATTGCAAACCGTGCCAGCAAATGTCCTTATTATACGTGTCCTCACGTGCACAGGTACAGAAGGGTCTCTGGGGAACCACCTTCCTTTATTTTGAGATGACTGTGATTTAAAAAAAAAATATCCTGATGAACACTATAAGAAAAAGACAAAGTTGGTAAAACTTACAATATTTATTAGTATGAATCCGTGTTTGTTAATCCCAAAATAACAGATACAATTGGGTGATGTTGAGGGCAATGCCTTACTATAGAATACAAGGTGGAAAAGTCCTAACGGTCTGCAGCAGTGTCTTCTATAAGTGAGTGTGGGTCCAGCCCAGACAAGCCCTTTATAAAAACACAAGAAAAAGGAACGGTTTACACAGCAGAGCACTGACACTGGATCACTGGGTCTGCTTTCAATGATGACGGTTGAAGGAATGGACTAGACACCAAATGAGTCTTAATACAGCTCGGAGCCCGTTAGCGTAAGGCTGGCTTGTAGTCCAGCCCGCTGTGAGCACTGCAGAGCTCGCCAGAGGAGCTCAGCTTCAGCCACCATATGCCATATTCCTTGATTGGAAAGGAAAGATTTCTGTCATCCAAACCTCCCTCGGAAAATGAATTCAGGTCTCATTGGGGCACAGCCCTTTCATTGGCTAGAAGTTAGTTTTAGGTCTTCAACCTTCTCTAATCTGCAAGGTAACGTCATATTCAGCACCCTAATGTACCATTTCAACTCTAAAATGGCAAGTCAATTATATACCTACATAAAATGTTTACATGACTCCAGCGCCATCTTGGGGGATTCCCACTGGGAAGTAACCCTGTGAGAACCCGAGCCTACATCGTACAACACATAGATAGGCACGAGCCAGGCTCAGCCAGTGAAATGGATTACGTGTCGGTGTAACAAATACAAAATCCTATTTACACATATACACACATGTGAAAGGAAAGAAAATGGAGGGAAGGAAAGGAAAGTTTGGAAAATTATGTGAAGGAATTACCTCATGTGAAACTACTTGACGTTTTGGGCCTTAACATAATATTACATGGTTACAGTTCAACTATCATAACAGCCAGAACGTAATCACAAGGCCAGACAAAGGAAGTAGAAAGCTTTGTTGTGGACAAAGCGCGAGCATCGATCTTCAGAGAAGACTCCATGTTTATATGAATGCTTGTGTGCCCAAGTACTGTGTACTCTTTTCACCAATTGCTCTGAGTACTGATTACATGTAAGCTGTCATCTGACTGGCTTGAATAGTTAAGGCGGTACAGAAAGGTAAAGGAGTGGTTCACACCCTCAATGTGCTTCTGAAATAAAACCATGGGCTCGTTGGTGGGTTGCTCACTGGCTACACGTGATGAACATCAGCTATTTCAAGCAAGATGCAACCACTGAAGACCAGCCCAAGGCTGTGAACTCTGCTGGGGGGTGTTATCACCTTAGCTGGGCAACCAGAACAGCTGTCTGGAGACAGACCCAGGTTCTCAGGGACAGCTGGGTGAGGAAAGGCTCCAGGACAAGCCTACATGTCACCTGGAGAGAGGTCATTCAATTTGCAACCCCAGTTGTTTAACTCTCAAAAGGGGCATGACAATCACTTGGCCCCCAAGCAGAATGTTAGCCACTAGCGGAGTTGACGCTGTGGAGAAAACCCTAAAAAGCCCGGCAGTGGCCCTGCTAAAGATATCCAAATGCCACTTGCTAGCAGTTTTTGAGGTGCCTGTCTGCAAGAGCTAAGAGGCACTCTTGAACCAAAAGTAAGTTTTCCTAGCCTGCATATCCTCCGATTGTCAAACTACTCTTTGTGACCTGGGGGAAGCAGTTACAATATCCAACTGACAGCATATTCTTGAGTTTAAAAAAAAAACACCTAACTGTGATTTCCACCTGTTTTCTCTATTGCAATCCTCATAAATTAGTGTAAACTTGGCCACAGTTTCTCAAGCACTCTTGCTTTTTGTCGGTGGTGATCTCAGCACCTCCACCTGTCCAGAGCAGGGTGGGCACAGCCATGACCCGACTCGGAAGCAGCAGCTCACACTGGGTTACGGGGAGTTGAGGTCTTTTGTCAGCTCACAATCTCTTTCCTGGCTTTTACATGATAGGTTTTCTATTAATGTTCGCTGGGCCTTGAATGTTGGGTACCAGCTAGCCCTGTTACCATGCTGCCTGATTAACCATTTCTGAGGCCAGCCATTCTTTACAGTTTCCTAGTCCCCACAAAAGGCATGGATCCAAGCGTCCTTTAAGAATTACCTCCCAATATAAGCCCTAATAGGAAGTCAATGCCTTCCTGACTGCAGGTATTTACGAACGTTAGAATGGTAATGAGACTTGGGTTTCCAATGGAAATAGCTTTTCTTCCTTCCCATGCCTTTTCTCCCTTTCCTTCCATTGGATTCAGACATCTTTAATTAACTGAGCAGACAGGGAATCCAGAAGGGAAGGTTTTATGAAAGCCCATTGTCAGCTAACCCTGGCATTCCCGGGGTGGGCCTCTGGTTAGCCCCAGCGCCCACCTGCCCAAGCCTGGCATCTTCTAGAACACTTTCTCTGATTTTGTCATCTCGGGGACAAATCTTAAGGTGCCGGTGCTCCCTCTGGCCGGCTTTCCTATAACTATTAATTGATATTATTGGAAGTGTGTCCTAAGATCTAGATTTGAATATCTTCTGGTTAATTTTCCCCCTAGATATGACACCAAGGCATTAGTAAAATCATACACTGTGCATTAACCTTCTCTAAGAGGGTAGGTGTTTATTACTGTGGAGATGATCATACCAGGCAGTCTGTGGAAAAATATTTACACCCTACATCTGTCACCGCTTACATGGTAACTACTCAAATGATTCTTTCAAACTAGGCCTCCCACTCCCAAAATTGCATGCAGTATCTTAGTCAGACTTGGTTTGTTTATATATGACTAAAAGAAAAATGGGCACCAAGTAAAAAGAGATGTAGACAACAGTTTCTCATATATCTTTCTCCACTTTCATAATGGCTCAAGTCTATAGCTTGAGTTATGGGCCAAACACGCTCCATTGAAAGGTAAATTAAATGAAATTAAATGAACCTTTCATTGAAGGCTGGTCAGGTAACAGAGGCAATGGCACTGAAGAACTTATTGAAACTGGGCTGGGGAGCACAGGAAATTGGAAGGGATCACCACTTTAGAGTCTCACACACATATAGGCCAGTGTGGCTGCTGTACAAATTTAAGACTATTTTAAGGTTTTTAACAACAATAATAACAAATCAATTGTACTCGTGACCTAACACCTGTTCCCTCCCACGTGCATTTCATGCACCAAAGGCCATTTTGTGGCAGTGTGGCAGATTTTTCTCGAAGCCTTTTCCAGGGATGTTTCCTGCCCCACCACCGCAGGTCTTCTAGGATGCCAAGCCAGCACCCCGCTTCTCCCTCCGTGGGGTGCCAGGCTGCCGAGAATGGGAGGTCGGCTCTGGCTTCTTCAAGTACAATGGACCGTGGCCCACGGGTCAGCAGCACCGCCGGCTGGCTTGCGTAGCTGGCTTCCCAAGTTTGATTGCTCCATTGTTTCCATTTTCATGGGGGTCCAAGGGTGGGATCTGGCGACCTGGAACAAAGAGGAGGCCAGAGTTGAGTTCCTTTACTCTAGTCCATACCACATATACACTGTTACCCTGCTTCAACACCTCCCCTTAATGTCTGGGCTGTACAGGAAGTAGAGGGGTCCAGGAATGGCTCTTTTCCCTCCTTCCCTCCTCGCTCTGCTGCATGAAGTTGAACTCCTGTTTGGAAAGTTGAGGAAAAGTAAAAGCGGCCTCCTGAGAACACGGATTTCCCTGGGTTGTCCACAACCCTGCGCTCCTGAGGAAGGGGGGAAGTTCCCAGCCACGTTCCCCACACGGGCATGGGCCCACCGCTTCCTCTCCGCCCCTCGCATGGGTCTGTCCCACACGAATGAGCTGCTGCATGGCAGCAAGCCTTCCACAGTAACCATGCGTGCTCATCGTTCCTGTGTCTTCGAGGAGAACTGGACTGGGAAGTGTACTCTTCCAAATAATATCATCTGTTAATACTTACCCTCCCCATCCTGCATCCTGCCGTGTGCAAATAATATGATTTTTACTTAATTTAATTTAAAAAATTGTCCTAGAGTCTCTGCATATAAACATAATGTAAGCATTAAAAAGGCAGTGGTGGAGGATGGGGAGGTGGTAGCTAAAGGGTCTGTGGTTTCTTTTTGAGATGATAAAGATATTCTATTTTTTTAATGTTTATTTATTTTTGAGAGAGAGAGCATGCACCCTCACGCGCGTGCACACACACACAAGTCGGGGAGGAGTGAGGGTGGGGACAGGGGATCTGAAGTGGGTTCCACCCTTACAACAGACAGCCCAATGCAGGGCTCGAAATCAAGAACCGAACCACGAGGTCCTGACCTGAGCAGAAGTCAGATGCTTAACTGACTGGGCCACCCAGGCGCCCCGAGATGATAAAGATGTTCTAAAACTGACTGTGTTCTTAGATGAACATCTCTGTGAATATGCTAAAAGCCACAGAAATGTACACATCAAACTGATGAAATGTATAGATTGTGAGTTTTATCTCAGTAAAGCAGTCTTTAAAAAAGGCAACAGGGTCTGGAAATAATATTTGTTTAGAACCTGGCAGTCTGCAAAGATGTTCACGGACAGTGTCTTCACTTAAACCTGGGAGATAGGTGTGGGGGCTATTATTCTCATTGTTTTACCAAGCCTCGGAGAATTCAGGTCACATGCTGAAGGGGATGTCAACAGTAAGTGGCGCAGGTGGCTCTTTAATTATAACCTGCATCATGATTTTCTGATGGGTCCCAAAGCCTCTGTCCTTCTTACTGCACCACGTTAGCCCTCTGCGCTACAGTCCTATGTCTCATAAAAAGTAAAGGTTGTTAAAATGAGCTCACCAGTATATCAGCTTACTAAATAACCAGTGATTAGAAATGGAAGGGAAATGAGTTCCAAAGACAAAATCCTTCCATGCAAGTGGATGTTACCTGGGGACTAGAAACAGAGTCAAATCACCCTGGTTAGAGGTTCATCTTCACCAGGGACGGAAAGAGTTGATGACAAGATATTGATGCATTGTGTAGATCGGGTGGTATGGCCACTCATCAAAGCCCAAGCAGAAAGATTAAGGTCATTGGCAATTAGCCAAAATCCGAAACCAAGGGTAGAGCTCTTCATCTCATTATGAAGCGGATGAGAAGATCCTAATAAATTCCGAAGCTGCTACTACGGCCATTTCCCAGACAGCCCACAAACTATGCAGAGCTGTTGTACACCAGTCTCAAAACAGTTCAGTCCTGATCCAGAAGCAAATGAGAATGGCAGTATGTACTTTTCTCCTTTGGACATGCTGTGTTTTTTTATTAGTCGTAATTAAAAGGAAATAAACAAAATGCCTCTTCTATTTTGTCAATTTTTAAGTGATGAGGAGGAAAGTTCCCAACAACTACCAATACCCTGATTTATTTAGGTCAGATCTTGCCAAGCAAATGTTACTTACTCCTCAAAAGGAGTGTTTTGGAGGAATGACAGTGCCAAGTTATATCATTATTTAAATGTATAAGATTTTGGGTGCCTCCTGGATGTGTTCAGTGCTGCAACAGGGGCTTTTGCTTTTGCATCTGAAATACTTGGCGTCAAAATTACAATTAACTGGTAGAAGCTGTTGTCCTAGTTAACTAAGACAAGTACTGTTCACTGATTAATAGTTTTGACAATATCAGAATCAATATCCTATGCTAACATCAACTTCATGCTATTCTTATGTTGTTAACTCTAAAGTCAGCAAAGTAGCATGAGGCTATTAGCCCTATCTTTGACTTATTCTACATGCCTCATATTGTAAGTTTTCATAAGATTTTTCCTATGAATTGAACTGCAAATACAAAAGAAGCTTATGCATACAATACACATTGAAGTCACAAGGGTAGAGTGAAAATATAGAAACAAAGAACATATGGAAGGCACAATGGGAATGTCTGGGCAACCCATCTCCATCTCGCCTTGCTCTGTCCTTCCTCCTCTCCCTCTTTCCTGTCTCCCACTTCTGTCTTCCATGGACAATAACCAAAACAATGTTTAGAATACAAGATTCAGTAGACCCACATCATGCCTCAAGGAGACTCTTGTTGTTTTAAACTGTTAGTGTTTTTGAGTCAGTTGTTGAGCCTGGCTTCTTAGAGGTACCAGGTCCCATTTATCTTCAAAATACATGAAATCTCATTTATTGGAACAAAGTATTTCTCAAAGACAGAGTTACACAGTTTCCTTTGACTTCGTTTTTCTTCTCTGGGAGAAAGAGTGTTGAGATCTGACAGTCTGTGATGCAGTTAAGTGAACATGGACAAGCTATTTAGTATTTTCAAGACTTTCTTTCCACACCTATAAAGGGGCACCTGGGTGGCTCAGTCAGTTAAGTGTCCAACTTCGGCTCAGGTTATGATCTCATGGTTTGTGGGTTCAAGCCCCGCATCGGGCTCTGTGCTGACAGCTAGCTCAGAGCCTGGAGCCTGCTTCAGATTCTGTGTCTCCCCTTCTCTCTGACCCTCCCCTGCTTACACTGTCTCTCTCTCTCTCTCAAAAATAAAATAAAACATTTTTAAAAAATGAAGAAAAAGAAAGAATGTGAGATAGTAACTTGACAGCTCCTCCAGCATATCCATCTATGGCTACTACCAATGTGGAAGGAACTAACGGCCACAAATGGGTCTGGGTGCCCTCAGGTGGAGTTTGCATGGGGAGATGGGTTCAGGTACTAGGATCAGGACCCATCCTACTCTTCCACGAAACACAACCTGGGACCGGGCCACACATCCCCGCTTCAAACAGCGAGAAGAAAGGAAATGCTTCCATTTTAAGGCAGAGGTTGAGGAAAGCTGAGTCATAACAATGAGGCAAGCACCTTAAAAAGAGAAGGAAGCCAACAGCGTTGTGAAAACACAAGAGCTCTGATCTTGTGATCTGGGTTATTTGGAACTTACCAAAAGGTGAAATGCACTTAGACAAAAGAACGGTTCTGGAAAATGGCCAAGGTGTTTTGTACCAAGGTGATCGCACCATTGAATCAGTATTAATTACACAAGCATAGAACAGGACAAACATATATATAGACACAATATATAGACAAACATATATAGACATCTGAAAAGGCTCTGAGCATCATCCTCTGTGGGTTTCTACTCTTACAAAATGTCCTTTGACTACACAATCTCCGTAACGGGTCATCCTTGAGTAGAAATCCCAGGCCAGGCTGTTTATTTTAATAAAGTTCAGATTGTGTAAGATTCTTCTTGGTAAAAGTTCAAGGGCTTTTTTTTTTGTTTTGAAATTCAGTTTTCCTGAAAGTTGACAGCCCAGAGGAAAAACAGGTTTTAAAAAGGATTCCTTAGGAATGCAATATGTGAAAAAACAAATTCCAAGCCTATAAATTTGATCGTGGCTCTGGACTAGGGACTGTGATGCTTTCATACACAACAAAAATAAAAGAGTGTGGTTGGCTGCAGCAGTGCTTGCTCCTTGGGTGGAGGTTGGGCCATTCCCTGCAGGAGCCTAGAGGCCTGCCTGGTAATACTTCTCCCCTTTCACTGTAGTTCAGGGGTTACTTTGCTCTGCTATTTTCTGTTGAGTGTTAGAGGGTCTGGTAATTGCTCTGTGACTTCCATTTCCTGATCCTGATTTTCTGAATCACCCTGATTAGTAAACTGACACATAGGACTTGGCGGCAGTTAGCCTTGATAATGGCCTTCAAGCCCCTCCATTTAGAGAGGGGGGTCTCTATGGAACACTTCCCTTACAAGGAGGGCAGGGGAGACACATGCCACTTGAGTCATTCTCCGAACTGTCCTTTTACTGCTGTAAAAATGATCTTGGAATTACTAGATCACCTTGAATGTTAAGAGTCTAGACCTAAGAAATGAGCTAACATTCAATATGGGATCAGAATGGCTTAGGAGACACAGAGTGAATTTCATCAGGAGGCCTGCAGGAAGTCCAGGAAGTCAGGGATAAGGACAGCCTTGACCTTGGTTACATTAAAAGAAGTTGAGGAGCACCTGGATGGCTTAGTAGGAGAAATGTAGGACTCTCAATCTCAGGGCTGTGAGTTTGAGCCTCGCATTGAAGTTAGAGATTAAAGACAGACAAATAAATAAATAAATAAATAAATAAATAAATAAATATTAAAAAGAGAAGTAGGAAACAAAGACGGACGGGACTGCAAGAAGACACTTGACAGGATGTGACAACTGACTGGAAGTAGCAGGGTGAAGAGAGGGATAAAGAAAAGCAAGGATAGGGGTGCCTGGGTGGTTCAGTTGGTTGAGTGTCTTATTTTGGCTCAGATCATGATCTCGTGGTTCCTGGGTTCGAGCCCCACACTGGGCTCTGTGTTGACGGCTCAGAGTCTGGAGCCTGCTTCGGATTCTGTGTGTGTGTCTCTCTCTCTCCCTCTACCCTTCCTCTGCTCTGACTCTCTCTCAAAAATAAACATTAAAAAAAAAAGCAAAGATAAGTGTCTAGGTTGCTGAAGGAATGGTGACACTCACAGAGAGGGAAGAAGGGGGAG